AGAGAAGAGAGGGGGAAGGAGAAGGAAGGGAGGCTGGTTCATATCAGGAAGCACAAGGTTGCCCTCTGACCTCCTCCGTGGGTCTGAGCGGAGGCGCATGCGCGCACGTGTTCTTAGCCGTTCTGTGTCTCATACACTCACACACGTTCTATAGAAATGTAAATCAATTGTTTTTCAAAATGAAGGGAGAGAATAAAAAAAGTAAGAGAAAACAGTCTGGATGAGAGTGGGCTTCAGACAGGGATAGGTTTAGGGTTATCAAGGCAGATAGACGGCCGTCCCAGATCCACTCTCACAGTGTACACCTAGGGTACAGGAAAGTGATGGCGAAGGGGCTGTGTGTGTGCGCGGACCCCATCAGACTGCCAGTATCAGAGGAACCTTCAAGATACACCACAAGGGCCTGGTAAGATGGCTTAGTGGTTAAGACCACCGACTGGCCGGGCAGTGGTGGCGCACGCCTTTAATCCCAGCACTTGGGAGGCAGAGGCAGGCGGGATTTCTGAGTTCAAGGCCAGCCTGGTCTACAGAGTGAGTTCCAGGACAGCCAGGGCTACACAGAGAAACCCTGTCTTGAAAAAAAAAAAAAAAGAAAGAAAAGAAAAAAAGCACTGACTGCTTTTCAGGAGGCCATGAGTTCAATTCCCAGCAACCACAACCATCCATAATGAGATCTGATGCCCTCATATGGGTGTCTGAAGACAGCTCCAGTGTACTTTGGACCAGAGAGAGCAGGGGGGCGGAGTGAGTGGGGACCAGAACAAGCAGGGACAAGAGCAAAAGGGAGAAGGGAAGGGGAAAAAAGATAGCCCACAGAATCAGGGGAGCTGAGTGAGATATGGGGAGGGAGTCACAGGTCTCAGAAAAGACCTAGCTGAGCTGCAAGTGGGCATCAGAATTCCAGGCATGGGCCTGGCAGGGCTGAGGTCTAGTTTGCTGGCACAGATGCTTCCCAGGAGGCCTCCAAGGAAATGTGTTCTCAGCGGGGCAAGCTCCAGGAGAGCAAGGAAGACCCTGTGTCTCTCCGTGGGAGGCCTGAGCAATGGCTTTTTAGAATTCTGTTTTAAAATTCAGAACTGTTTAAAAGATCAAGCTCACCCTTGGACCATGAGTTTGGCTATTTATTTATTGGCTGATTGTTGCGTCACATATGGAAACCACCTCACGAGTTAGACAAGAATGTTACCAATGTGCCAAACCTCCAGCCTTAGAGCCATGAGTCTGGGATTTTTAACGCCCTATTCAGTCACCTTGTATCTGAGGCCAGAACCTCGGTGACCTCCCTCGGGTAGGACCTGTGCCCTCAACTATCCAGCTCGGTCAGCACTCAGCCTTCTACAGAGCCCACTCCAAGAGAGACATCTTCATTCCAAAGACCTTCCCAAGGGCCCACACAACCCCCCCCCCCCCAGAACTGAGGATGCACACGACTCAGGTGACAAGTCCAGCCAGGGTGACAGAATTCTGGTTTTATCGACAGCCGTACGGTCACAACTGATATAGATATAGATATATATTTGTATTTATATACCTTTAAATTACACAATCATGTACAAAACAGGTGCATTGCTGAGACCACGGCACGTCTCGGAGTTTCACAAGTGTCGGAACTAATGATGTCAGAAAGCCTAGGGCGGCAGACGCAGTGGCGGCGGGTGGTAGGGCAACCTTGGCTCCTCCTGGAACCAGGCTGCAGGATGGTGGTTAACTGGGGGGATGAAACACATCACTGACCGAGCCCTGCAGGGTCCCATGCAGCATCAAGGGGCCCCTGGGGAGTACAGGAAGGGGTGTGGACACGGCGAGGGAGGGGTGTGGTTCAGCCCAAGGTTGAGGTGCCCTGACACCAGCAATAACAGGTGGGGCTCAGCTCCGGGCTCTGGGGATTTCCAGTGGGGAGACCCTCCCTCACTGGGGTGCTGAGGAACTTGAGGACCAAGTCTGGTCCCAGTTGGGGTCATCAAAGGTGGTTGTTCATAAGGGATGGATTTTCCAGTTCCTGCCCAAGAGTGGGCAGCTAGTATACTGCATGGGGTGTGCCTGGGGTCCAGTCGGGGCCACAGCCCCTCCCCAGGTGCTGGGAAGCCGCTGGCACAGAGAGGGGGAGCCCAGGCCCCAAGGTGCAGACATGGCGGCTTCTTGCCTTTCTGAGGTGAGGGTGAAGGGAAAAGCTGGAGGAAGCCTGCCATCTGGGGAGGCAGGAGGAGCTGTGGACAAAGGGGGGTTTGAATCCTGCTTCTGGTTCTGAGGGGCCCAGGACCCAACCTGTGCTGCAGCTGAAGCCCGTAGGGCAAACAGTGACAGGGAAGTGCCTGCCTCTTCGGTGCCATGTTCCCGGCTCCTGGCCCTGAGGGAGGACTGGCCCAACAGAAGCCCCTGCCACAGCCCTACTCAAGGGTGTGTGTGTGTGTGTTAGAGCCCCAATGCTTGGGTTCATGACCTGACGGTGTTGTCAGGAGAAGCAGCAGAGAGCTAAAGGGCCCCGGGGAACATGGGTGGTATACTCTTTCCCTGGAGGCCCAGAAGGCCACCTGATTCGGGAGGCAGAGAATGTCCGTGGGCCAGAGGCCTGACAGACACCAGCTGTGTGAGACTTTCCTCAAATTTGTGTTCTCAAAGGTCCAGAGAAACAGCCTCTACCCGATTTCCACTGTAGGAGGTCTTAGCCAACCCCACCCCACCCACTCAAGGGAGAGCCTGCCACCTACTTTCCAACCACAAGCAAGGGCCCTGTGTCCCCTCCCACCTCCAGAGTCCTTTAACAGAGACTCGGACTTAGAGAAACAGGATCAGGAGGCAGGCTGCCAGCATTCAGGGGGTATATTGGGGACTAAAAGGTCAAGAAAGAAAGATATAGTGACCATTCAGAGTTCCTTCCTCAGGCCAGCCTGAACTGCTGGCTCCCCCTTACAGTGCCAAGCTGGATGCTCCCCTGAGTCCGGTGTCTCCTCCCCCCCCCACACCCCCAGGCAGGCCACGAGAGAGACCTGGCTGTTCCCCTGAGCCCCTGAATCTTCTAAGTTGGCCAGGTGAGAGCCTTGTAGATCGGCCTCACAAAGGCTGATGTTGACACAGTGATTGTGGGGCTGGGGCATTGCCATTTCTGAATGGGATGGGTGGCCAAACGCCTCTTCCCCAGGGAATGGGAGGAGGCTGCTACTGTTGGTGGCTTTGCCCTGGGCTTTGAGGGGGAGGAGGCTTTGACCAGTGCCAAGGACTTAGGAGATGGGCAGGTTCTCTGTAAGATGCTCAGATGCTCCTCTGGAGGACCTCTCTGTCCCTGTAGGGTTTTTCATCCCTCAAAATGGGCTTGGCATTGGGAGTGTTGGCACAGCCTGGACAGATGATCTGTTCCTCCTCTTCCTCTCCTGTGTGCCAGGGATGGCATGACTCCGCCTGCCCCCATTCACCTGCCTTCATGTCTGGGGAAGTGAAGAGACCCCCCCAGAAACCTCCACAGAAAAAGGAGGGAAATTCTCCCCCCAGCCTCACTGGTCCAGGAAGAGAACAGCACCCCCGGGGCAGAGTGGAAGACTAAAGATTGGGGGCCCTTTAAGAGAAGGGGGTGGTTGAAGAGGGCAGGAGAGGGGACAGGAGAGTTTAGGAAGCCAAGCTCAGGTGACAAGGGTAGCTGCTGGCAGCTGTGGTGGGACAGGAGAGCGAGACAGGGTAGAAGGATCCAGAAGATCTCCCTCAAGACTCAGGAGACTCTTTGGTGGACTCTGTAGACCAGATGTGACATAGGGTTAAGTCCCAAGATCCTTGCCCACGCTGTGGGGGAGGCCGTCATCCTAAGCCCCACTCCCCTGGCCTCCAGGTAGGCCGCAGACGCTGTCTCTTCATATTTCTTCTTTTTTGTTCTGTTTTGACTTTTAAAAAAATAAAAGCTTGATCGGAAAATATGTCTGGAACTCTATGGCGAGGGGAGGGGGAAGGGCGGAAGGCGGTGGACAAGGAGTGAGAGGAGTCGGGTGGGCAAGGTGGCTATATAGCCTCGACGTAGTTGGCAGGATAGAGGCCCAGCTGCCCGCTGTCCAGCCGCCCGCGGCACCAACCCTGCTCGTCCTCCTCTCCGAGCTTGGTGAGCTCATCCCCTGGAGAGGGAGACACAGGGATGCCTTGTCAATGCATCTCTCTGCCCCAGAGCTCCATCCCATTTACCTGGACTTCCTGTCTTCAAGCCGGACCCTTGCACTTTGCACTACCCAGCTCACGCCAGGCCTCTCGCTCAACCCTTGCTCTCTTCCTACATCCAACCCAAGCCCAGTCTCCTCCCCCTAGTCCTCCGACCCCGCCCCACCCTCAGCCACGCCCCCCGTACCGGCTTTGAAGCTGAGTTCATCCTGCTCCTGACCGTCGTAGTCATAGAGTGCCCGTACACGAACTCCCTTGGCATCATCGTCGAAGGGGTTGGCGCCACCATTGGCCTCGTTCCCCCCGAAGGGGTTTCCGCTCTCATCGTCTGACCACTCGGTGGCATACGGTTGGCCTCGGTCATAGCTGCTAACACTTAGGTGCAAATGGAGAGCTCTGTCAGTGGCCTTGACCCCCATCTCCACCCGTGTCAACATCCTCTCCTAACCAGAGCTGGGGTTCAGATTCTACAAGGCTGAAGCTGAGGTCAGATACACAGGGCGGGGTCCTAGCCAGTGAGCCTCAGATAGCTTGAACAGTTTGCGTTAGTATTTCAGCTAGTGCGAAGGAGGACCCAAGGACTGTCTGATCCTGTGAGAAAGACTACCCTTAAATGGGTACCAGCTTGGACGAGACTGCTTTCCCTGGTTCTGAGCTGATACATGTTGCCTAGTCTCTCTGGACTTAAAACGCACACATTTATTCCTTCTCAGACTGGCCGGAGGCTTGAATCTATTAACGTAAGGAAGGTGCTTAGAATACCGTGTGACTTAGAATACCGTGTGACTCACAGCAGGTGTCTTGAAGGGTCACCCACCTGTTTTGCAGAGGACACATAGTAGTTATGGTCTGCTGTAATTCCTTGTCTTCGTGGATACATTGTATCTGGCCCAGTGTGTGGGTCTCTCTCTCTTTCCTACCCAGGAGCCCCATGGGAGGTACTCACCTGCCGCGGTCCCCAGCCTGGGATGTAGATTCTACAGCCCCAGTGGCATTGCTCAGGGTGGCCCCCTCTGCCTTCTTAGGCTGTTTCTCCTTCTTGGCAGCCGTGTGCGGGAGGTCTGGGTTCCACTCCTGGAGGTGAGGAGAAGTCAGGCTGAGGGGTCTGAACCTGCAGTCCCCTCTCAACCCTCCGCGGATCCCACTTTACCACCGTGAGCATGCTCACCTCAAACTGCGGCCAGTTCATGGGCATCCCGGGGCCACTGGTGCTGCGGAACCACCTGAGGTCCTCCTGGGCGTCGGCCCCCCGGATGGCCTGCTCCAGCTCTCGGTAGACATGGGTGTAGCTGTGCAGGAGGAGGATGGCGCAGGCTTTCTTCTCAGCCCACTCAGAGGCCAAGATGCTCGGCATAGCCCCAGCCAGGAAGGCTCCTCCCCACCCCCTTATTATTAAAATTGTATTTATTTTATGTGTATGGGTGTTTTGTCTGCATGAATGTGTGTGTGTGCCACGCGTATTCTCGGAGGCCAGAAGAGGGCGCTGGATTCCCTGGAACTGGAATTAGGGGTGTTTTTGAGCCGTTCATGCAGATGCTGGCAATCACTGCAGTTAACTGCTGAGCGAGCACTCCAGACCTTTCACTTTTTGTTTTGGTTTTCTTTCTTTCTCTCTTTCTCTCTTTCTTTCTTTCTTTCTTTCTTTCTTTCTTTCTTTCTTTCTTTCTTTCTGTTTTTCTTTCTTTCTTTCTTTTTTGGTTTTTCGAGACAAGGTTTCTCTGTGTAGCCCTGGCTGTCCTAGAACTCACTCTGTAGACCAGGCTAGCCTCGAACTCAGAAATCCGCCTGCCTCTGCCTCCCGAGTGCTGGGATTAAAGGCGTGCGCCACCACTGCCCGGCTCTGTTTCTTTATAGAAGAGTGAATCAATTACTGTATATTAAGTAACGATGAGGCAAGGAGAGCCAACATAGTCTTTGCCCCTCCCACGTAGGGATAATCTAGGGACCAGTTAATACGACCCCAGTTTTCACAATCTTTGTTTCCAG